TGATAACACCAAGTCAAGGGTTAAGATCCCCTTACCGGTCATCTTTTAAAAAAAAAAAAACAATCTGTGTTATCAAATACTTTCCATGTATTAGGTGTTTTAATGCATTATCTCAATGACTCAAAGCAGGCATTATCCTCATTTACAGAACAGGTCAAATAAGGCACAGAGAGGTTAGTTAACCTGCCCAAAATCACACAGCTAGTGTTAGAGGGTGGATTCAAACTCATGTTTGCCAATCACCTCTCTTTTCTCTTTAAAAAAAAAAGCAGCTTGACACAGAGAGAGATGGTTACATGGAGGTTGAGGTCATTAGTGGAGGGCTTTAGAGTCATGGTTTGGGCACATTTGATCTGAAAGTATAGCTTCTGCCAAGAATCTGGAACTGTGCTGTCCAGTACAGTAACCATTAGCTACTTGGCAATTGAGCAGTTGAAATGTGACTATATCAACTGAGATGTGCTAAAAGTGACTTTGAAAACAATACGAAAAAGTAAAATATTTTATTAATAATGTTTTTATGTTAATTACATGTTGAAATGGTAATATTTTAGATATATAAGAAATATTTAAAAAATTAATTTCACCTTTTTCTACTTTTGTTAAAGTGGCTACTAGAACACTTAAAATTATATGTATGACTTGCGTTATATTTTAAATGGGCTGTGCTGCTCTAGAGAGCAATTTGTTATTACTAATTTTTTTCTGAGTACAAGAGTAATTCAAGTTTATTTAAAGAATTTGGAAGACATAACAAAGCACCAAGAAGAAAATTAAAATCTCACTGTTCAAAGGAAACATTTACTTGACTGGAGTTACACTATGCACTGTTTTGTGCCTTTTTTTCCCCCACTGAGTGAAATATTCTGTTTTGTTTGTCCATGCAAACATGTTATTTTTAAAACTTGATTTTTAGTTCCTGCTTTGTGTACTATCAATGGATTTACCATTGTTCATTTAACTTACACTCTACTGATGGACATTTAGTTTGTTTCTAAAGTTTTCCCATTATTAGCAATGCTGTAGTGAACATTCTCGTAGGTGACAGCAAAAGTTGTCTGAGCACAGGCTTTGGAACTATGGTGCCCGTGTTCAAGTTCCAGATTCTCAACTTTTTTTTAAAAATTTTATTTTGTCGATATACATTGTGGTTGATTATTCTGGCCCATTACCCAGATTCTCAACTTTATAGCTGTGTGACCCTGTCTTTAGAACAATAACTGGCACATAGTAAGTGCTACATGAAAGTTGCTGTTACTAATATTGTTATGATGAATACATTTCCAAAAAGGAAATTACTGAGTCTACAGCAGTTTTAAGGATTTAATACATATAACCAAATTGCCTTCCAGAAAGATTTATTGATTTATAAGAAAAACAAATCTTATGAAATTTATACTAATCATAGTCAATACTGTCATTAGAGGTTTTAAAGACTACTCTAGTATCTGTTTCTCACTGTTACGTTTAAGGAATAGGGAGAATTTATTTCTCATGCTCTTTTCTCCAAGAACTCTTGCTTTCACATATTCATTCAACAGATATTTATTGAATACCTCTGCCAGGAGTCTGCATACCATTTCAAGTGTTCGTTTCAAGTGTTCAGAGATCTCTCTGAAATTGACTTATATTCTTGCCCTTAAGAGGTATATACTGTGTTACAAATCTCTCATCATCACCTGCCCTTGACTGGGTAGATTTTAGCTGGTGGTTTATCCTGGGAAAAGAACATTGTATATAAAATTTTGGCAAAAACAGTTGGTCTTCTTTTTTAAAAAAAAAAAAAAAAAGATGACTGGTAAGGGGATCTTAACTCTTGACTTGGTGTTGTCAGCACCACACTCTCTCAAGTGAGCAACCAGCCATCCCTATATAGGGATCTGAACCCGTGGCCTTGGTGTTATCAGCACCACACTCTCCCAAGTGAGCCACGGGCCAGCCCTAAAACAGTTGGTCTTCTGTGATACTCTGCTCATTTCCCAAATATACTTGTAAAAAAATCAGTTTGCTTGAGATTCTGTATAAAATGCTCATCGTGGTGCAAATATTGACATATTGAAGACTAAATATTAAGAAAACCACTAAAATGTAGGAATTTCAGCTATAGTGTACAAGTTTGGCAGGTTAACTAACCTCTCTGCTTTATTTGACCTGTTCTGTAAATGAGGATAATGCCTACTTTCAGTTGTTGAGATAATGTATTAAAACACCTAATACATGGAAAGTATTTGATAACACAGATTGTTATTATCTACCACTTTCCTTTTGCAACCTTTCTTATTCAGATAAAACAAAGATTAGACTTAGCGGGAGGTTAGACAAGATTCTTAAAACAAAGATGGTAGGAAATCTCATTTAAAATGGTCTTTTGAGGGCTGGTGGGTTAGCTCACTAGGGAGAGTATGGTGTTGATAAAATGGTCTTTTGGGGTTTCATATGCAGCATGATCTCAGCCTTCTCTTTTTGGTTCATAATCAAAGAGTTTTGGCAAAAAAGAAAAAAAAAATCTAATTCTACACCAAAAGATGGAATTCAGACTGCTTTGAATAAAATTGTGAATACCAAAGAGGGATCAAGGAATTCCATGGGAATATAAAGCACATAAAGAACAGGCCTTTTCTTGGATGATGAAGGATGCTTATCAACTCTTTCAGAATCACAGGGGCCAGAGGCTAGGGGGACTGGGAACAGAGAAAAAGGGATTTGGAGAAACTTTTCTCTATAGCAAAGAGGCTTAAGGATTCAGTCTTGAGCACAAGACAGACTTTGGTTCCAGTCAAACCTCTGTTACCTACTGACAGTGGTCAACTCATTTCATCTCAATTCTTTACATGTAAATTTGGGGACAATAAAGTTATTTCATACCATTGTTAGAATGATTAAGGGAGATGTCTCATTGTGTGAACATCATAGGATATATCTCCACAAACCTAGGTGATACAGTCTACTACACATCTAGTTTATATGGCACAGCCTTCATATATGTGAAGTGTGAGGCAAACAGTAAAATTTACTTAATGTTGGCTGTCATTGTTTTTTTAACAGTTTCAAATATCACTTGCCCCTAGAGTATTGCTGTATATAGTTGAGATTTGGAATAAAAATGGTTACTAGATGAAAGAGGCAAAGTAAAATTCTGTGTTACCTTTTGTATATTACAAAATATTGATAGAATCTCAATTTTGCTGTCAGCTTGATTGAGAGATAGTTAATGTTCAGAAAATCCTGACACCAATGACCACAGTGCTGAATCAATCTGCATTTGTAATCTATGTGTTCACGGGGACTTGCAAGTATAGGTATAAGCGTGTGACTTCTTCATTTGTCTTCTAGTGGAATCATGCCCAAGTTTTTATATACTGATACCATATTTTTTGTAAATTACTCTCTTTTTTATGTAGCAGAGAAGT